AACGAAACTCTCGGAATCAAATGCTTGTAAGGAAAGGTTGTTCATGTCACGAGATATCTTCACTAAATTTGCCATTTGGCATGAGATATTGTCCTAGGTGTCAGTGCAACCTCCGAAAAAACTGAAATAAATCGGATCATTATTACATATAGCACACAAAGTGGCAGATCCAAAAAAAAAAAAAAAAAAAAAAAAAAAAAAAAAAAAAAAAAAAAAAAAAAAAAAAAAAAAAAAAAAAAAAAAAAAAAATGGCACATCAAAACGAAGATTTTGTGTTAAAACTTGAACCTGTGAAACATGTTTTAATTTCGATGCAGTCTAAGTTAACGTTTTTTCCAGTTTTACAGCTCAATTGTATATTTTTCAGTACACAATATTATGTGCGTCATATCAGCTTAGGGAAGTTCCTCTTGATCATACGTTTAACGGACTCAATATACTGTCAAGAGCTCCAGTGGCTCCCAAAAATGGACTGAAGAAAGTCTGAAAAATACTGCATATAAAATTACGGAAGAAAGATGAAACTAAGTTTAATCTCACTGGCTTTTCAATCCACAGAGCATTCAAAACATCTGTTGGTCTAACGTTACCAACACAAGTTACTGCAAAGCTGGTTCAGGAACGAGGAATGAAGTAGTTCACTTGTAGTAGTTCCTGAACTAGTAACTACTTATCCACTTCTTCATTGATCAGGAAAGTAATTACTTATGAAGGAAATCGTGGTGGTCCAACTGCCGGCCTGATCTTGCCTTCATCTTAGTAAAAAAAACATATCGGTTTCCAGTGCATACTGCTTTATCAGCATAGATCACTGAGTTTACTTCACAAAATATAAGACAACTGAGTCAAAACATATGACTTACAGGTATGTGACCAAAAGGCAGTTTCATTTCTAGCTTTCATATATATCGCTCATGGAAGCCGCGAGAGAATTTTCAATATTGTTCACAAACGAAATTACGCCAAGATGCTTACTTACTTAGCGGTTAAGCAAATATTGTAACTCCTTGCTGAACATGATTTGACAACTTATGTGACAACTTTTTTGACAACTGCTGTGATAATCAGTAAAAGTTTAACTTCTAAAAGAACACCCTATACATTTATAATTACACAGAACTTAACAATGCATCGCACGCATAATATAATGAATAAAGCCACAATTATTAAAAAAAAAATTAACTAAGCCACCTGAAGAATTTTGCAATATTATATTATTTGGAATTTTCTAGTTGTAACTTCTTAGTTGCTATTGCAATGCATTAAAAACGACAGACTTTTATTCGAAACACTTGCAATTAGATTTTCCTGTAATTGTTGTTGTTACCACATGCAACGGACATGTTTAATTATCAAGTCGACACGTTGTAACCGAAGGTGGCCGTCAAGTCGCATGCGTCGGTCAGTCACAGCGCATGCGTGCGCATTCGCGGATATCAGCTCAATCGAATGCAACGGTGTATGTGGCTGCGAGTTGCTTTGCACGTGTATTTGCTCATGCATTGCATAAGTGATGAATTGCTCTTTAATTTGTGGGCGAAGTAATTAAATGCGTGTTTTTTCTTACTTTCTGTGTACCTTTTTTTGTTTTTGTTGCATTTGATTTCCAACCCTTTTTGTTTAACAAATGCAAACCAATTTCACGCTTGCCAGTTGCAGTCGCTTTGCGATCGTGAGTGTTGAGATAAGTTGGCCTCTATATACTATAGGAGGTACATATATAAATATATTGGTATATACCTATTATATATTATAGCTTCGTTTGATGTTTTCTTTTAGAGCTTGGATTATCAAAATCATTGGAAAAGATTTTTCTTGCCATCTCTCTTACATTTACCTGACATTTCTCGCCAGTCTGTCCTGATAATTTTTTTTTTTTCAAAAATCAAAAATCGGTACGATTGTGACCGAATTTAAAGTCAAAAGTGCAATGAATACCGTCGATCGACCATCGTATTCACCAGATTTGGCTCCGTGTGATTTTTTCTTGTTCCACAAACTGAAACTCCCGCTTGAAACCTTTTATAGTTCATCGAAGAGATAAAACAAAATTCGTTGAAGGAGCTCAAGGGCATCCAAAAAAGTTCTTATGAAAAGTGTATCGAGGGCTGCTTCTTGTGTCATGAACAGTTAGCCGTTATTGAAACTTCAGGTCAACTAAAAATGGAAATCCCTATCCATATCGACAGAGTATCGAGTGCTTTAAAATTGTTAATGGTTTCTAGTGGTTTTGATGAACAAATCAGCGCTGTGTACGTTCAATCAGTTTTGAGTATTAAAAAGGCTGAATAATCATAGATATGTCTGTTAATTCCTAAGTGGTACTTATAATTAATTTTAATTCTCAATGTGGTGAAGAATTACAGTGTATGTGTCTATTATTGATATTTAGTACCTACATGGTTACCGAGTACTAAGTACTAATTTCGGAATATTTTTGTACCGATCTGTGAGATTGAATATTAGTTATACGTGACCGCATTTGTATAATTCCGATATTTTGTACCTACATGGTTACCGGTTACTCAGTATTTAAATCGAAATTATTTTTTTTTATAGATCTATGAGGTTCAGTGTGAGTTATAAAGGACCATATTTGTAAATTTTGAATATTTGTACCTCCCATAAATGGTTACCGGTTACTAGGTTCCGACATTGAAATGATCCTTTTAACAGAATTACATACGAGATTCAGTGTTTGTATCTGGCCATATTTGTATAAAACCTTTATTTAGTAGCTACACCGTTACCGGTTACTCAGTAATTAAATCGATATAATTTTTTTTATAGATTTTTGAGATTCAGTTGTGAATTATATGTGATCATATTTGTATATTATTGATTTTTAGTAGCTACATGGCTATCGGGTATCAAGTGGTGGATACAAAATTATTTTTTTTAACGATATTTGAGATTCAATTGAGTCTAAGCCCTATTGAGTATATTTAAGCGTATTGAAATGACATATTCATTAGGTTTTAATTTCTATATCAAAAATGGCACTGAACAGTATATTGATTATTTTTATCTTGAAATTAATGCTAAAAATTTATATTAACTTTTATATAGCCTCTGATCGGATTTATTAATGTGTAGCATTTTTTTTTATTAATGCCTACAAATGACTCACCTCAGCTCATACGTATACAAGCAGACCAACTTTAATCCAAGCTTTCAAACACTTGTGATACATCAGACCTGCAGTACCTTCTTCGATTTTTTTTTTTTTTCGGTTGCATGGTCATTTTTGTAACACCATTCGCTAGATTGTTGGATAGTTTCGCATTCATCAGCTATAGTCAGCAGAAATGAGGCGATTGATGAATGTAGGGTCCGCAGTTGCGTTGTCAAGTATATATTTTTCAACCTCTACGCGACGTGACTTTCACATTAACTAAAATGTGATCTTTAAGAGATGAGATGCTCTGCTAGCTTCCTGTTGTTAACACGATGATTTTTAAGCATTGTATGAAGTGGATAGACGAAGGCATTGAGCAAATTTTCGTTGCGTAAAGTTACCTAAGAAGTCCTTCTGTCTGATTTGTGCAACTCAAATACTTGTGTTCGTTATAAAGTTGACGCCCCAAAACACTTCTATTGCATTTTAAACAACTATGTTGCCGTGATTCCATGGAAGACATAAAATTTCACTCACAATTGTTGTTCAGTTTATTCATGATTAAATTTAAACCGATGAAAGATGACACTAATTTAGGAAAACATTTGTATAGATTCGGACAAGTCCGGGTCAATTTTGATCAGATGAAAGCTATATTGAAACATTTTTTTTTTTTTTGCATCTGGCGATTGACTTCTTATCAGAAATAAGTTCTGGTAGCAAAATATGTATTTCTTTTAAAATTTTAAGCAAATATTAATTTTTTAAAATATCGCTCGGGTTCAGAAATAATTTTCTTGGATATAAAAAATGCCTTAATTATATGTTTTTACACTTTTTACAGCAATTCAACTGTATTTTCCATACTAATAGAGTTCTTAACTCATTTTTCACATTTCTAACAAAGAAAAATTCCGTTGGATAAACAGAAAATTATTGTTAATATAAATAAAACAACCGTTTGCACTTCCTCACCACAGACCATTAATTTAACAACGCCGCAATTGTGAACAGCACACATTTTCCTGCCTTCTATTTTGTTTAATTAACACGCAGTGCACGCATTCATGCAACCAACGCATCAACATATGTGCAGGTGTGTGTGTCGATCCGAGCGCATGCGCATTAAAGTTGATGCCGGTTTCGTAGCGCTTAAGCCTCCCATGCATATCCGCATCTCCATAAGTATGATTAATCACGTGTTTTGTGCAAATATACACTCGCTCGCTGCAACGACCGCCCGGCGATCACGCACACGCGCACGCATGCGAAGTCGTCGAGTCTACGCTCACGCGCAATTGCAACATAAAAGCGCAACGGCAAACAAATGTGTTTACTTATAAATATTTATATGTATATAGAGACAAGAGCATATGTATGTATGTTGGCTGGTACTCTTTTGTAAACACGCATGCGCGCCAATAATTTCCACCCGTCGATTCGATCCGCATGCGGCCGCGCCAACAGTCATTCACACTTGCAGCATTGAAATACGCATTGCAGTCTCATTCTAAAAAAAAACAGCAACAATAGCTTTTTTATTTACTGGCTGCTTTACAACAGAAACGCGCACAAGCGCTAGAGCGCGCAGAGAGCTTCCGCATAGCGCGGAAATTACTAAATTACAAGTGGCTGAAAGGAAGGGCTTGTTGCACACTTGTTGCATTCGCTTATTAAGGTTGCAGCTAGGCATACATGTATGTATGTATGTGTGCGTTTCTTTCAGCAATTTGCATAACTAAATTCCTTTGTCTTCATTCATGTAATCTTATTTACATTACGATTAAATTCTTGATAAATGTTTTTATTGCTTTTTCTTATTGTTGTTTTTTATACTTATATTGTATAATAAATTTGTTTGTTTGTGTTTTTGTAATTACAGCAGCGTAAGCTGTCACCGACATGGGCAGTGAGCACTACTGCTTGAGGTGGAACAATCATCAATCCAACCTGTTAGGGGTGTTTAGTCAATTACTACAGGACGAGAGTCTGGTGGACGTCACATTAGCTTGTTCAGAGGGCGCCCTCATCAAAGCCCATAAGGTGAGTACAAATTACTAGCTACGTCCAAACATATGTATATATAATATAAGTCTTTGATATCCTTGGAGCAAAAATTTCTCATTAGTGATCCATATCAGCGTTCAATTTTGTGAAAATACATTTATAAAAATAATAACTAAAAAAGGAATAAATTAAAAAAAAAATAATTAAATTTAAAAAATTAAACAGTATAATT